GTGTCGTAAGAATCTTGGTGGTAGAAGAGGAGACGTCACTCATGTCATACCGTCGCCAAGGGATGCCATGCTCTACTGGATCCTATAATGTAGACATCCCTCTCATTTGACCCTTTTTAGGAGGTCCAACCACCTCCTTCCAGATAAGTGGATCCCATTCTGGTCATGAATCCCTGTTTGGTCCATGCTTCTCCACATATTTTTGGTGAGCATCGTTCTGTTTCAAAAAATAAAATTTTCATTAGTTAGCAATTTCAAATGATAATGGAAAATCAAATAAAAAATAATCATTTACTAAATACAATGGATAAAAAATTGTATCACTTTTCTTCTTTTATGACAATATGACATTATAAATAAATAAAATTAATATCATAAAAGAATCAGATTCTTACATATGTTTGCTCAGCCTGTGGACATATCCAAGCGGGAGGGGCATTTTCTGGAGCATCAGGTCGGCGAGTCATGTGAGTCAACAAGTACGACTCTAAAGGTGTCGGCCTAACTCCTCCTCTTTTAGCTGCCTATTAAAACATCAATAAAATCAATAACATTTCCCTTTTTATGGTAAACAAAAATAATTTATATATGTATATATATAAGTATATCTACTAACCAGTCGATCCTCATGGATCCCAATAGAAAGGCCTCCAGTTGTGTGGGTCACACGATCACCCTTGCTCGGTTTTGCCGACCTCTTTCCTAGAGTGCAATATATTTTGGACTCCTCCATTTTGCCAACAAAATTTTAAAGGTTTCCTTATGCATGAACTCGGGCAACTTCTTATCCCTAACCCGCACCTTTCGAGCTCGATGAAGCTCGTCTCGGAAACGGTTTCGACAATGTAATCTCCAAATTTTATACACACGAGCATCATTCTCTTCCCAATAATATGTCCTCTGTAATGAAAAAAAATAATTAAATGTTAATAATTTATTTGATTTTTCTTTAAAAAAAAAAAAAGAGCAAAGTTTTGCTTAAATTGTCATTTTTTTTCACTATTAATAAATAAAATATAAAAAATCATATAAAATATACTTTGTACTTCCATATCAAATGCCATAAGAGTAAGGTGATAGCATCTAAATAAATTCTCAAAAAATACTTCATTTTATTCTATAATTTTCATACCTGAAAATTCTCCCAAGTAACCCTCTTCTTTTCCTCAGGCCAACTAGACCAGAAAAGCACTGGCTCATATACAAGTACTTCCAAATTACTGTGGCAGTCCTCCCAAACCTCTCATGGCTGAATGTGCCTCGGCAATTAAGGCTAAGCACCTCCCTTTGACTCGGGTCTGCAAGAACGTCATCTCCTTTATCCATGCCACGTCCTGTCTTCGGGACAGCACATGATAGCTCTTCCTCCAACTGAGCATCTAACTCAGGATCAAGCACAGCAAACTCACCATCCAACTCAGCCTCCAAATTACGCTCTTCAGTGTCTTCCTCCATTGTTGCATCATCACCAGTGAACTGGTCATCGGCCAATGGTGGCTGAGTAACAGCGAGTTGCTCCTATTGCAGCTGTGTGGGAGGCTGAGTCAAACTGGAAATCTATTGCTGTGCGAGAGGCTGGCTTAAGCTAGGCAGCTGCTGTTGTGTAGGAACAGCCCTACGAGGCCCCCGAATAAGACGATGAAATGACCTCTGTGGTTCTCCTTCTAGATCAACCTGCTGTCTAGAAAAAGATGCACCTCGCGTACCTCGTCTCATATCTGTATACAAAAAATAATGAAAACATATCAACCTACTTTTCATGAAGAAAAGCAAAATTTAAAAAAAAAAAAAAACAAAATATAAAAATATTCAATTAATAACTTTTAGATTAGATAAAGATATAACAATAACCAAACTTATTATATAAGTTCAATAGTTTAATACAATATGAAAAAAAAAAATCATACATTTGATTAAATGAGAATTTAAAAAATGAAAAAAAATGAAAAATATAAATATCAATACACAACTAAATATATATAAATAACTATAAATATATGAAATATATATTCATAAGTAAATAGATATATATATTAATATAAATATAATAGTATATAAATATAACTTCACTATAAATAT